TCAATCAAAATAATATATATTATTTATCGTTATGGGACATAAAAACGATATGGCATCCCTGTGAACTTCTTTTTCGTAGTCTTGCGATTGAATAGTTTCTGCTTGTCGTACACATTTCTCCCAGTCTTGTATAGTCATTGAATCTAACGCTTCATGAGTCAAACGTTCAATGTCTACCATCATATTTTCACATTTATATAATATATTAACTACTCTTACTCTATATAATCATAATTAATAATTTTACTGAATTTCGGTGGGGTAGGGGGTTAACCTCTTAAACCTCCTTTGTATACGCACCTGTTCATAAGTATTCTCGCTAAATTAATTTTATTGTCTGTATATAAATTAGATTAGTAGATAGTGGTATGAGGTTGTAACCCGAGCAGGTGTGTTTTATAACGGTACTTATAGCCCTCCCCCCCAAAAAAAAAAAAAAAAAAAATTAAGTTCTAGTTACGCCTTTATCACCCGTTCAAAGTTATAGATATGAGCGATAAGATATATGCTTGTCAACCAGTATAATATCTGTTTTCGTTGTTATTTTTTTATCTGTTTTTAATTATTTTTTTGCGGGTCAAATAAAATTTATTCGCGATCATTCTTTATGCACATAAACTTGGATGCGAAAATTCGGGATATCCTGGCATCAGAAGACCACGACCATACTTACTAATCGAATACACACCATCCATAGCAACCCGATCACCACGTCTTCACTCCTTTGAACCGCGAAACATACAATCCGCGAAAGTAAAGTCGAGCGAATTTCCGTCCAGCTCTTGCGCGCGCCTAGAACGTGCATCTGTCGGTTGCCGCGATACCGTTTCCGTAATTCAAGAATTCCCTCCGTGTGTGTGTTAAGAAATATTATTATACCAAATATATTAATAGATTCTAAATTATATACTGCAAGCCACGTACTAGCTTTTACGTTTGCATAGTGTAATGCTCCCGCCCACACACGTATACATAATAATATTATACATCACGTTTATACGTTATGCACACGGGTAATGTTATTAACATCGCAACATCTGCCACGACAACGATGTGAATATCAAGGTTGCCTCTATCAGAAGGTTTAATACAGAATGTCTGAAAAATCAGGAAATCAAAAGACAGTACAAGAATAAACTAAAAGAAACCTTTTGTCTGATTGAGAGATCAAACAAAGTAGATGATCTGTGGAATGAGATTAAAAAATCAGTCAAAATGGCGGCCACAGAAGTCCTGGGATTTGATGAAAGAAGAACTAGGAAAATATAATTTGATCGAAAATGTAAAATAGCAAGTACAGAAAGAGATTTTTTACGAACAAAAATGTTACAAGACCCAAGTGAGGAAAATAAAAGATTACTCGCAATCAAGCAACAAGAAACCAAACAAATGTTTAGAAGAAAGAAAACAGCATGGGAAAACTCTAGAATTGAAATAATAGAAAACAGTTAAAAGAACAATGTAAAACTCTTTTTTGAAAAAGTTAATGAGATTAACGTTGGATTTAAGGCAAAATCAACAATTATAAAGGATGGAGAGGGATTACTAATAACAGATATGAAAAAGGCCGCAAATGAGTTCTAGAATATGTTTAATAAAATACTGAATCAACCTTATCAGGTAGACGTGGAAGAAAACCTCAGCACGGTCAAACAGAGATTAGGTGAACCTACGATAGAAGAAGTGGAAAGGGCAGTAGATTTATTGAAAAATAAGAAAGCGCCAGGGAAAGATGCAATTATTGCTGAACTGCTGGAAAAAGGAGGAAAAGAACTAATGGTTAGTAGATAATATATAGAAACAAGAAAAAATACCAACAAGATGGCACGTATCAGTGTTATGCCCGATTTACAAGAAAGGAGACGCTATGGTTTGTCATAATTACAGAGGAATATCCCTACTAATCACATCTTACAAAATAGTATCGAACATAATATTGAACTGAATCAAATCATACTCAAGGGAAATTATAGAAGGATATGTCGGGTTTTATGCCAGGGAAATCTATAGTTGATCAAATACATACGATTAAGCAAATAGTAGAGAAAATCCACGAGTTTGACATAGATGTGTACCTACTATTTGTTGATTTCAAGCAGGCATATGACTCCGTAAATCGAGAGAGGCTCTGGAAAGCAATGACTCAACTTAGAATCCCTGCAAAACTGGTGAGACTGGTAAAAGCATGCGTGCAGCACTCTAAATGTTAAGTTCAATGGAAAGTTATCTGAAGATTTCTCGGTAGAAACAGGTCTTAGACAGGGAGATGCGTTGTCCCCTACATTATTTAACATAGCCCTAGAGTCAGAAGTGAGAGAAGTACTTGTTGATGCTACGGGTCTGAGCATAGGAGAAAGATATCAAATAACACTAGCAGCATATGCTAACGACGTAATAATTATAGGAGGAACTGCAGAAGATATAATACGTACGGCAGAAAAACTAGTAAGCAAGGAGAAAGATATTAGACTACAAGTTAATGAGCAAAAAACGAAGTATTTAATAATATCAAGAAAAGAACATGTACAAGATTCGTTAGTAATTGGAGACTTTACCTTCGAAAAGGTATTAAACTTTAAGTACCTAGGAGTAGATATCAACCAACAAGCAAATAGCTTACTAAGAAATTAGCAGGAAAATTACGGTAGGAAATAAGTGATATTTTGCGCTTGTACTATTATTTAAATCAAAATTACTTTCCAGAAATACAAAACTAAGATTATATAAAGTGCTTATTAAATTTATATTCCTGTATGCCTATGGAGCGTGGGCATCAACAAAATCGTAGACTGCTACAAATTAAAAGAAAAATATTTCGTAGAATCTATGGACCCAAAAGAAACGAAGAGAACACGTTTGAACGAAGAACTAATGCAGAGTTGAGAACAATATTCAATGAAACAAACATAGTAGGAATTCTTAAAAGAAGACGGATAAGCTGGGCTGGACACGTTTGGAAAGCGGAGGGCCAAATAGTGCATAACATCACATGGAAACCAGACAAGAAACGGCTGAGAGGGAGACCAAGACAACTATGGTCTGACCGAGTCAGAGACGACCTTAAGTTCATGGGAATACGAGAGGGAGAACGACTGGCGAAGAACAGAGAAGTTTAGAGAGGTGTAGTAGAAACGGCAATGAACCTATAAGGCCCAGAATAAGCAAAAAAAAATAAATAAATAAATAAATAATAAAAAAGTATATATATATATATATATATATATATACATATATTATATGTTTTAAATAATATACTTAATACAACATTTGATAGTGAATAAAACGTTTTATTCAGCAGTGTGAATTTTAAATTAACTTTAATCAACTTATTAGTATTAGTATTAGTATTATTAATATGTATATGTGCAGTCATACAGTAAGGTTGTGCGTGTTCTCTTTCTGATTTGTGTATCGGTAATTATACGTTTATTATCATTATTTGTATATTATTATTATTATTATTATAATATGTTAATTGGCTTTTCGTTTTCGACTGCTTAATATTATGTCAACTAAAGTTCAAAATTGCCACATTTGCACTCATGCATTTGCTGATCTTGATTTACCTATTAATTGTGATGGCTGCAGTTTAATTTTTCACGCAAAGTGTTCGGGACTATCAGCGAGCGAAATCAAATGTCTATCTCTAAAAAATCGTAATTTAAAATTTTTCTGTGAATCTTGCAACAAAGGGTTGCGTGATATTCCTGAGTTGAAAGCTTTAATAAATCGTTTGCTAGTTGAAGTTAACGAACTTAAGAACTTAAAGAATAATAATAATAAAAATGAATTACAATGCTCCGAAGAGATTATTAATGAGGTGGCCGAACGAAATATTCGTGCATCTAATCTATTATTTTACAATATTCCAGAGTCTAACTCTGATAACATTAATGATAGAATGTCTCATGATTCTAATATTGTTAATAATATTATCGATTCAATTAATATTGGTGATAGCATTATTAGACCTACAAAATTAATACGCTTGGGCATTCGCGGACAGAATAAAACTCGACCAATTAAAGCAATTTTTAACTCACCTAATGATGCGTTTGAGATACTGAAATTAAAGAAAAAACTATTATCTCAAAATCCACCTTCCACTTATAGTATCAGTTCAGATCGTACACTTTACCAGAGAAATTATATGAAGAACTTACGCGAAGAACTTGAGACTCGTAGATTGGATAGTGAAGAAACTGATTTAATAATCAAATATGTAAGAGGCACTCCAAAGATAGTTTCCAGAAATGATCGTCTTAAACATCGTAACACAAATTTTTTATAGTAAATATGTTTTACCAAAATGTACGCGGTTTATTAACTAAAATCCCATTTTTACATAACGCTTTATCAAATGTTAATTATGATTTTATTTGTCTAAGTGAAACTTGGTTGAACACAAATGTTTTTTGATGTTGAACTTGGTTTTATTAATTATAATATATATAGAAATGATCGTAATTTAAGTTTTGGAAAAACTAGGGGTGGGGGTGTATTAATTGCCATAAAAAAAAAATAAGCTGTGAATTATTAACTGTTCCCATAGTTGCTGAAATTGAGCAAATATATTTAAAAAATTACATTTAATAATATAAAAATGATTTTAGGCTGTGTTTATATTCCGCCAGGTACATCCTCTGATGTTTATTCTAATCATTGTAATACAGTCGAGTCTATTTATTTTAAATTCCTTGAATACAATTTTGTTATAACTGGTGATTTTAACTTAAACACTTTCGACTGGTCAGTTGATCCAAACTCTCAAAATCATAGGTCTGGTAATATCTTATATAATACTTATATCAATTTGTTAAAGTTAAAACAAAGTAATAGCATAAAAAACTGTATTAGTCGAACCCTAGATTGTATAATGCTTAGTGATCAAGCCGAACTCACTTCTATTTACTTGTCTGATACACTTATTCCTTCAATTGATAAATATCATCCTCCAATTGAATTTCTAATTAAATTTGAAAAATCATTGTTTAGTGAGCATTTAGAGTCTCCTTATATTTTTAATTTTAAGAAATGTAAATTTAATGAAATTACGCAATTTCTTTCTAATATTGATTTTGATCTGAATCTTGATAATAATTTGTCTCTAGATGCTATAATTAATAAATTTCACGAAATTGTTTACCACTCATTCAATCTGTTTGTACCGAAAATTAAAATCTATAATAATTACTCCATTGTTTGGTCAAATGCAGAACTCCGAAACCTAATAATGGAAAAGAAAGCTGCCCATAAAAAGTATAAACTTTTTCCTTCTCCTGAAAACTATATTAAATTTTCTGAGCTTAGGAAAAAAGTAAAATTATTAAATTTAAATTGTCACACTCGATACATTGCAGATATTGAAAATAGTATTTCATTAAATATTAAACCATTTTGGAATTATATAAATTCTCTCAAGAAATCGAAAAACAATATTCCTGACTGTATGAAATATAATAGTAAAGCATCTAAAAATCTTTCTGAAACGGTTAATCTATTTGCTGATTACTTTTCTAGTGTCTATGTTAATAGCACTATTAATTCTAATAATAATTTTTCATTACACAATATTCCTACTAATACTAATAATAATCATATTAACTTAAGCTCATGGTCTATTGATACTTGTGACATTTTTGATTATTTAAATTCTTTAGATTTATTTTCAGGGACTGGACCTGATGGTATACCATCAATTTTTTTAAGAAACTGTAGTTCTGTATTGTTGAAGCCTCTTCATTTTATTTTTAATAAATCTTTAAGCTTAGGTTATTTCCCGGATATATGGAAAAAAATCATTTGTCACTCCAATTCATAAAACTGGTGACATACATAATGTTACTAATTACAGACCTATTTCAAAAAATGTCTATTATTCCTAAAATGTTTGAAGCCTTAATCACTAAAAAATTATCTAAAATTGTTTCTCAAGTTATTTGTAAAAATCAACATGGTTTCAGACCAAACATGTCTATTAACACTAATATTCTACTTTATCAGTCCAAAATACTTGAAGCTCTAAACAATCGTGTACAGCTAGACTCAATCTACACCGACTTTCAAAAAGCATTTGATAAGGTTCAACATAATTTACTTCTTAATAAATTATCTTCTTTTGGCATCCATGGAATTTTTTTTAATTGGTTATGGTCCTATTTAAACTGTCGTACACAAGCGGTTAAAGTTTCTCATTATATTTCAAACTCTTTCCAAGTAAGTTCTGGCGTACCACAAGGTTCCCATTTAGGTCCGCTATTATTCATAATTTTCATTAATGATTTACCATCTATTTTTGATGAATCGGTTGATATACTTCTATTTGCTGATGATGCGAAAATATTTTCCAAAATTACTTCTACAGCAGATGCTTTAAGATTACAAGCGAATTTGGATAAATTCATTTTGTGGAGTCACCAAAACGGTTTACCATTAAATATAAATAAATGTAATATTATTTCTTTTTCTCATATAAATAATACTATTATATACGATTATAAAATGGATAACTTTTCTGTCACTAGAGTTACATCAATTAAAGATTTAGGGATTATCTTCGATAATAACTTGTCTTTCACATCTCACATAAATCATTGCAGTAAAAAAGCTCTTAAGATGCTAGGTTTTATAAACCGAAATACAAGTAACTTTAAGAACATTAATGCCTTAAAAATTCTTTATTTTTCTCTTGTTAGATCACATCTCGAGTTTGGGTCAACAGTTTGGTCACCAAGTTATAACTTTTCCGTTAATATTATTGAAAATGTTCAACTTAAATTTTCAAAGTTTTTGAGTTATAAATTAAATATTCCATGTATAACAAAAAACTCATATAATATGTTTATTAGAGAATTAGGGTTTATATCATGTGAATTAAGGAGAAAGGTTGCTGATATAATGTTTATTTATGACTTGTTAAATGGTCACATTCACTCTCCTGAATTGCTATCTATGATAGGGTTCAATATAACGAGTCACCGTCTCAGAAAAGTAAATTTATTTCATATACCATTTAATAGATATAACTATGGCTCTGATAGTTTCTTTCCTAGATCATTAAATTTAGCAAATCAAATTGTGAATTATGTGGACTTTTTTTTCATGTCACGTAATATTTTTAATCGTAATGTATATTTAGGTTTAAATTCAATTGCAAATTAATTTTTTATTCGATTATCATTTGTTATTATCTTTATATTATTGTTATTATTGTATTATTCTTGATTTACTGGTATTTTTATTATAAATCTATTTTTCTTTATTATTATTATTGATTCTATTTATATTCATCTTTTAATTGTATGAAAATAGTTTATATGTTACTACTGATAATTACTTAATATTATGTCATTCACTTCTACTGTATTTTCAAAAGGGTTTATCCCGTTTATTATAAATAAATAAAAAAAAAATA